CTAGTATGATTTTTCAGGATGCTCATAATATAAGCCCTAACCCAAAAATAAGCCCCAGTGAAATGAAAACCTGCCCTCCCCCCTTGTGCAGCAACCAGAAGAAGAGGACAGGACTGCATTTGAATAAATGTAGATTGTTGTACATGAAAAAAATAAAACATTCCCTGAAAATAAGCTCTAATGCGTTTTTTGGAGCAAACATTAATATAAGACCCTGTCTTATTTTCAGCAAAACACAGTAGCAAAAAGAGAAGTCAAGCCATGTTTAGAGAGAGCGTGGAATTCTGGACTATTTTATTTTATTAAAAACCTAGGAAGTACAGTGGTACCTCGCTAGATGACGACCTCGCAAAATGACAAATCTGCAGGACGATGAGGTTTTGCAATCACTATAGCAATTCGCAAAACAGTCATTCCAATGGGTGATTTTCGCTTGACGATGATTTGCTCTGTACTTCGCAGACTGTTTTTTCGCAAGATGATTTTTACAGCTGATCGGTGGCTTTGCAAAATGGCTTCCCCATGTTTTCGGGACCGATGCTTCGCAGGACAGCCATTTTTACAGCTGATCGGTTCTTCGCAAAATCGCTGCCCTATGGGCGATCTTCGCAAAATGATGATGATTTTTCGCCATTAGAAAGCATTAAACGGGTTTCAATGCATTCCAATGGGGAAACGGTTTTCACTACATGATGTTTTCGCTAAACAGTGATTTTCACGGAATGAATTATTGTCATCATGTGGGGCACCACTGTATTTCCTGTTGATAACAGCAGCGGAATAATAGTGATTTATTAAAGCTGCCAACCAAAGGCTTTAATTCAAGGCAATTAAAATTAAGTTATTATTTAAATTCTTTCCTCCTTCTGGAATTTTAGAATATGGATGGCCTGCCCATCCGGAAACTACATAGGTAGATAACTGGAAAATTAGCTCAAGATGTGTCAGGGGCTTAGATCATTTCCTTCCAGGGTGAATTTGATTTAAATCAAATTTAAATCATTTTTTAAAAAAATTAAATTGACCAAAAGAAAATCTGATTTGTAAAATTTAAATCAAATTGATTTAAATCACAATTTTAACCAAAAAAACCCTGATTTTTGAAAATTTAAATGAAAATGATTTTTAAAATTGAAATCATGATTTAAATCATGATTCAAATAAAAATCGTCATTTAAATAAAAATCATTTAAAAATCATTGATTTTTCAAATCACTGATTTTTCAAAAATCTATGCTGCTTACTTCTTTTGGACATTTCCTTTGAATTTCACAGAAATGTTGCCATGGGACAGTTGGCATTCTGGGGGCTGTCGTTCAGCAAAGTCATTTTCCGAGGCTCTGTTCCTCTTGCAATGGGTTTTCTCCCACCTTTCCCTCCCCCTCACGTACACCCTCTGTGATCCCTCCAGGACTCGATGTCACCATCATCAGGGGGCTGAAGAACGCCGAAGTGTTTGAGGACGAGGACGTGACTTTTGAGTGCAAGGTCTCCCACGACCACGCCAGGGATGTGGAGTGGAAGCTGCAGGAGGTCTCCCTCCAGAGCAACGAGATGAACGAAATCTCCGTGGAAAATGGCCGGCTCCACAAACTGAAACTGAGGAAGGTCACCCAGCAAGACTCTGGCACGGTCACCTTCCGCGTGGGACCCTATACCTCCACGGCACAGCTCCAAGTGAAAGGTAAGGAGGAGCCTCACAAACATCCATGGATTGCTCTCAAGAACGAACCAGCAGAGCTGGTGCATGGTATCCCTGAAAGGCAGGGATGGGAGCACCAGTTGCCGGACTCGCCAACAAGTCAGACATCCTGTAAGTCGCACTGGTGACTCAGCTCGGGGTTGTTGTTTTTTAGTGACTTCGACTCGACTCACGACTTGACCGGGACTTGAACCCCTCTCTCTTTTTTTCTGGGCAGAAAAAAAAGCTTGTTTTTCATGGGGATTCAAACGTGGGGCTTGGGGGCTCAAGACTAGAGAGCAAAGACTCAGACTTGAGACTTGGTACCAAAGACATGTCAACCTCTCGCAAGAAAGACACAAAGGACTGGAGATGTAAAATTTCTGGAAGTGTCCATTTTTTTCCAGGAAAAGAAAAGTTTTTTTTTCCTTGTACTTTTCCGGGGGGGGGGGGATTGATTTTTTTTCAAGTTTTACATCTCTAAAGGCAAAGGTTCCCCTTTGTGTCCGACTCAAGGGTGCGGTGCTCATCCCCGTCTCCAAGTTGTAGAGCCAACGTTTGTCCGTAGACAGTTTCTGTGGTCACATGGGCAGCGTGACTAGACATGGAACGCCGTGACCTTCCCACCGAGGTGGTCCCTATTTATCGACTCGCATTTTGACGTGCTTTCGAACCTCTAGGTTGGCAGGAGCTGGGACAAGCGACGGGAGCTCCCTCCGTTGCATGGATTCGATCTTCTGACGGCTAGTCTTCCCACCTTGCAGCCCAGAGGCTTCTGTGGTTTAACCCGCAGCGCCACCACATCCCATTTTACATCTCTACAAAGGAGCCAAAGCAATATAAAGCCACAGTATATTGCTTGGATGCGGAGAGACCTTTTCTTAAGTTTCTGAATGGCCACACCATGATCAACTGTCTTCTAAGGTCCATTTATGCAGCTACATTTTGTGGCTGGTCCCTAAAATAAGCCAGGATCGCCGGAAAGGTTATCAAAGCCCAAGGGATGCTTGGAGAACACTCTTCAATGGCCTCAGTCCCATTCTGTTCAATTCACAGGACTGCTGTCATATATTATATCATGGAGAGAAGTTCTCGTTCCCATCTTGAGGTCTTGAACTCTAACAAAGGGTTGATTTCCCTGAACTGGAAAGGACAGCTCTATCCATATGATACAAGAACAAGGGCTGTAATTCGATAACTGGAAAGATATATATTTTAATAGCATGAGATAATTCATGGTAAGAAAAAGGACTCTGAATTTTAAATTTGCAAAATTCAATTTTTTTAAAAAAAAATATTTTTATTTCATTAGTATTAATGGGTTGATCCTGGAGTCCAATGGCCTGTAGGTGAAACGGTTCAAGTGGACCCTGGGTTGTTGTTGTTGTTGTTGCCTGTTCCTTGCAGGTGTTCTTCTGCTCTCACGGCATTTATATTTTCAGCACCATTGCCCGTATTTAAAGAAGAGCTGGCGAACAAAGAGCTGCAGGAAGACAGCACGGCAGTTCTGACGTGCGAAGTCACCCAGCCAAACGTCTCAGCCACGTGGAAGAAGGGCACCCAGGTCATTTCTCCCAGCTCCAAGTATGAAATCCAGCAAGAAGGAACAGTCCATACCTTGAAGATTTTTAATTTGAAGCCTGAGGATTCTGGCAAATACACCTGTGACATTGGGAACCAGAAAACCACAGCCACCATTTCCGTCGAAGGTAGGTGTTCGGCGACATCAGAAAGGACTCATCTTCTTGTTAAGATGAATTTAATGTGTTACCTGTATTTTCCGAATTACCAAATTAAAGAAATATACTAGGACCTCAGGATTTGCGAGGGATTGGTTTGAAGCTCCCTGCGGATGCTGAAAAATGCAGATTATAGCAAACACTATTTAACTAGTGAATGCCATATACAGAGCATGTTCTCTGGCTCCCTCTAATGGCCAGTTCTGGTAATCGCATCATAAAAATGTACCATATTTTTCTGTGTATAAGACACCCCATGTATAAGACGCCCCCCCCCCACTTTTCTAACCCAAAATTTAAAAAAATCTAAGTGGGGCTTAGCAAGTATAGGGGGAAAGGGATCAAAGCACTGCAGGATCACTTTGATCCCTGCTTTCTCCCTTTGTGCTAAGCCCCACTGGACTTAGCAAAAGGAGTGGGAAAGGGATCAAAGCAACCCTGCGACTGCAAGATTGTTTTGATCCCTTTCTCCCTTATACAGCCATGGGATTGCTTTGATCCTTTCCCCCTCCTTTTGCTAAGCCCCATGGGACTTAGTAAGCAGAGGGGAAAGCAAGGATCAAAGCCATCCTGCAGCGCTTTGATCCCTGCTTTCCCTTTGCTAAGGCTTAGCAAGGGGAGGGGAAAACAGGGATCAAAGCCCTGCAGGAACAATTTGATCCCTGCTTTCCCCTCCACTTGTTTTTGTTCTCTCCTCGGCTTACTTCCATGTATAAGACAACCCTCAATTTTTACTCTAAAGATTTTAGACAAAAGTATACTCTTATACATGGAAAAATACGGTAGTTCTCCAACACTATACATAGCATGGTCTTTGGCTCCTTCTAGTGGCCAGTTCTGGTAACTCCACCTTTAGGAATATATATTTCTAGGATTTTTCTTTTAATATTTTTAATATTTTCAGACAGCGGATAAGTGAATCAGCAGATACTGATTCTAAATAAAATAGTGTATATATATATATAAAATTTAAAAAATGCAATTCACGGTTATTGCACTGTTCTCTCTCCTCGCCCTCTGTGTGCTTCTCAGCCATCCCAGCCCTTTTTGAAGTCCAGCTTGAGAATCAGGAAGTGGACGAAGGTTCTACGGTCACGCTTCGAGCTGATCTCTCTAAGCCTGATGCGCCCGTGAAGTGGAGCAAAGGGCCCCTCAAGCTGCGGGCCAGTGAAAAATATGAGATGAGGCAAAAGGGCTCTAGGGTGGAGCTGCTCATTCACGATGCGCAGCCGGAGGACTCTGGAGACTACGCTTGTGATTCGGGTGACCATCAGACCACTGCATCAGTGCTGGTGAAAGGTGAGGAGAAGGTCCACTTTTGGTCTGGGCTCTAACGCTAGAATGGAACTGGCCTATGGTTGTATGCAAGTATATTGTATATTGCGTCTTCACTATCATGGTTGAGTACAGGCTCTGGAATGAGCAGAACAACCAAGGAATGTGTGTGGTTTGATTTTTACTATGGGGAGTGGTCTAGAAACACCAGTCTGCACACCAATAAATAATAATTACAGTGGTGCCTCGCATAGCGAGGTTAAGTCTTCCCATAGCCGGCAGCCATTTTCGCGCCCTCGGTAAGCGAGGGGAGGGCGCAAAAACGCTGCGCACGGCCATTTCTGTTGTTCCGGTGGCCATTTTGGACTCGTCGAACAGCTGATCCGCGGGTCGCAAAGCGAAGGGCGGTAAGCGAAACGCTTACCGATCTTCGCTATGCAAGTTTCGGCCATAGAGGCTGACGCGATGCCTCCGCATTAGCAATCCCGGAAAAGGGATCGCTATGCGGATTCATCGCTATATGAGGCGCTCGTTAAGCGAGGCACCACTGTATAGCAGAATCATGGAAGCATGGAGCTGGAAGGGGCCTCTAAGGCCATTGAGTCTCGATGCAGGAATCCAAGTCAAAGCACATCTGATAGAGGGTTGTCCAATTTTCTCCTGAATGCCTTCCTCTAAGGCCATTGAGTCTCAGTGCAGGAATCCAAGTCAAAGCACATCTGATAGAGGGTTGTCCAATTTTCTCCTGAATGCCTCCAGTGTTGGAGCGCTTATCACCTCCCCTTGAGGTCAATGGTTCCATTGTTGTACTGCTCTAACAGTTAATAAGTTTTTCCTGATACTCAGCCTAAATCTAGCTTCCTGTAGCTTGGGCTCATTATTACATGTCCTGCACTCTGGGATGACTGAGAACAGATCCTGCCCCTCTTCTGAAGGACTCCTTTTCAAGTCTTTGCAAAGGGCTCTCCTCTCTCCCCCCAGTCTTCTTTTCTCCAGGCTAAATAATGCCCAGTTCTTTCAGTCTTTCCTCAGAGGGCTCGGTTTCCAGCCCCCCTGATCCTCTTGGTTGCCCTCTTCTGAACCTGCTCTAATTTGTTGGCCTCCTTCTTGCAGTGTAGTGACCAGGACTGGACACTGTACTCTAGATGAGGTCTAACTATAATGACAACAGTTTAATTTGAACCTCCTGAATTCAAATGTAAGTGGAACACTATGGGCCAGAATCCCATTGAGGGAAAACATCCTCGGGTGCAGGCGGAGATGAGGGCTCCAATTCCCTCTTCGCATCCAATTCAACCCTTTCTTGAATGCCTGAATAGGGCCATATCCTCCCCTTTCTCCCATTGGCTGTAGCTACTGAAAGTCTCCTGCACGGATCCTGTCCCTTTGCTCCCTCCCAAATGCTTCTAGAAGGAGTGGACTAAACCAATTGTCCTATGTCGGGTTGTGGTTCCATCTGTGTGACACCACGGCGGAGTGGATCATCCCTCGCGTCTGATGCTTCTGCTCCCGATTCTCTCCCTTCAGCTTTGCCAGTACTTTTTACGAAACTCCTGGAGAATCAGCAGGCGGAAGAGGGCGGCACTGTCACTCTCAGCTGCGAGATCAGTAAGCCCGGCGCGGTTGTGCAGTGGAAAAAGGAGGGGGTGCTACTACGGGCCGGGGACAAACACAAGATTAAGCAAGTGGGTGCTGTGGTGGAACTGACCATCTGCAAGCTGAGTGCGGCTGATGCGGGCGAGTACTCCTGCTCCACGCAAGACCACAAGACAATAGCCGCTCTGCTAGTGAAAGGTGGGTGTCCCAGAGAGAACCGGGTTTACCCCTGTGAAACAAAGCCAGTTAGTGACTTACATATTCTGCAGTGACAGTTTGTCTTCCAAAGAACACACCTTCTATCCTAGGCTGAGGGCAGAAACAGACATTATAGACAATCTGTTATTAGAAAAGGTAATTGTGTTAACAGCTGAAAGCATCTGAGTGCACATCAGTAGCTTTTCCCTCACCTTGTGTAGTTTCCAAATTAAGTTGATTTGCTTTCTTTTGGGATTAGTCTTCATTAAAGAATTCCTTTGAAATCTGATTTTTGAAATCTCATCACAGATTATCAATGATGATTCAGCCTTAAAAATGTTTTATTTTGATGTAAAATCAGATTAAGTAGTCAAATAAACAGGGATTCTGTACTTGCTAAATCTTCAGAATAATCATTTCTCTACTGCTGGAAACACTTTATTTGTGCCTATGACATTATTGTTGTTGTTGTTGTTATTGTTTTTATTATTATCATCGTCATCGTCATCATCATTATTATTCAAAATAATAATAAAAAATAAAAATAATAATAACCAGGCACAGTCAAAATTATAAACACATTGACTGGTATTATATAACAGATATAAGTTTTAACCAAAATCCTAAGTACTGTATCTGTTAAAGATCGGAGCAGGATGTATGCTGTTCCCAATATTGCTGGATTTTGTAGCTCTGATGGTGGGATTTCTGAAATCTGCAACTGCTTATAGAGCTGTGTGGAATTTCTTGATATTGTTCCCGAAGCCCCGGTGACGACGGGAACCACAGAAGTGTGTTTCATCCACAAGCGAGATGTTTCGATGGCCAGGTCTCTGTATTTTGTTATTCCCCCCCCCAATTCTTTATTTTGAACCCTGGCATCCCCTGGAATTGCAATGTCAATGATCTGGATGATGATGATGATGTTGATGATGATGATGCCAATGCCGATAACGACGACGATGACAGCGACGATAATAGTTCTGCAAGCGACGACGATGCCAATAACGACGACGACAACGACGATAGTAGTTCTGCAAGCCAGTGTCCTCTGAAATGTCCATATCCCAGTTATTCCTACGTCACCTGCAGCTGCCGAATGTTAGGGATGCAATTTCACAGTTCCCTGTTCCCATGACAGATCCGAGGGCGGAAAAAGAGGGGATGATGAAATTCTCTTTTCATTTCCAGAGCCCCCGGCCACCATCGTGGAGGCCTTGAAGGACATCGCCCTGCACGAAAGCGAGGACGCCGTCTTCCAATGCAGGGTCTCCCGGGAGAACGCGAAGGACGTGGAGTGGAGCCTGGCCGGGGTGCCCCTCCAGTCCAACGAAATGAATGAGATCGGGGTGAAGGGGACACTTCACAGCCTCATCCTGCGGAAGGTGGCGCTCGAAGACTCCGGCACCGTCAGTTTCCGAGTGGGGCAGAATTCTTCAGAGGCTCAGCTGACTGTGCAGCGTAAGTGAGCTTAAAAGGGAAATCTTTCTGTTCCAGCCACTTTTTTTTTCAAATAACTGCAGCACGAAAGCAATCTAGCCTTTTATAATATTTCCATTCTGACCCCACAAACGGCTCCATCTGATCATGGCCCTTGTTTCTGCAAAGCCTGAGTATTTCACCCAGAAGAATCCATGCCGGTTCAGCAATGCAATGATTTACAAAGCCGAGAAAAAGCCAGTTAAACACTGTCCAGATCTAACCAGCTGTTTTGGAAGGAGTGACAAATGCATTGAAAACAGAGTGGTCCACTTTGTGGACTTTGATTACAACTCCCAGTATGCTGGGGATCTGGAGTCCTGAAACTCAGATTTTCCCTCTTCTGCTTAAAAACTTAAACATACCCTAACAGAAAATTTGGGCTAAGAGACAAAAACCTTTCAGTAGTTAATTGCATCTTTTAAACTTGCTGAAGATACGAGCAACTTAGTGTTCACTCCACTCTAATTACAACAGGACCCCTGTCTCCGTGGGGGATAGGCTACAAAACCCTGCTGCGGATACTGAAAAATGTGGATTAGAACGCTATTTCAATAGTGAACACTGTACTGTACATAGCATGTTCTCGGGATCCCTCTAGTGGCCAGTTCTGGTAACTTCATCTTTAGAAATACATAGTTCTAGGATTTTTGTTTTAATGTTTTTAAAATTTTCAGTCTGTGGATAAGTGAATCAGCAGATACCGATCCTGCAGATATGGGGGGTCCTACTGTATACAGTGCTGCCTTGCTTAATGACGATAATCCGTTCCAGGAAAATCGCTGTTAAGCGAAAACATCATAAAGCAAAATTTAGGAACCCATTGAACGCATTGAAAACCGTTCAATGCGTTCCAGTGGGCTAAAAACTCACCATCCAGCGAAGATCCTCCATACAGCGGCCATTTTCTGTGCCTGTATAGCGAGGAATCCGTCCCTAAGCACAGCGGGGAGCCATTTTAAGCATCCGGTGGCCGTTTTGAAAACCCGACGATCAGCTGTTTTTGATCGTCACAAAGCGAAATTCCCCCATTTAGACCATCGTTTTGTGATTGCAAAAGCATCATCGTAAAGTGGATTCATCGTAATGCGGGGTAATCGTTAAGCGGGGCACGACTGTAATTAAATCTGTGCACTTCCGTTCTACCAATCTAATGGAAGGTTTCTCTTGTCTTCTGTATAGCCGCTCCAGTCATCTTCACCAAGCAGTTGGCGAATTTGGAGGTGGAGGAGAACGGTACGGCGGTCTTTCGTTGTGATGTGTCCAAACCCGGTGCCCACGTCTATTGGAAGAAGGGTTCCTCCCCCATCCAGCCCAGCCCGAAGTTTGAACTCAAAGTCGAAGGAACTGTGCACACTTTGATTATCCACAATGTGCTCCCTGAAGACTCCGGCGAATACAGCTGTAGCACGCCTGACAGAACAACCACAGCCAAACTCAAGGCGAAAGGTGAGAGCTTGTCTTCAGAGGAAATTAGTAGCATGCCAGCACGGCCCTGCAAAGCTCCGTGGTCTCTTGGCATTGCTGAGAACATTAAATCATAAATGTAAAGCATTTTATAAGGTAAAGGTAAAGGTCCCCCTTGACCTTTAGTCCAGCCGTGTCCGACTCTAGGGTGCGGTGCTCATCCCTGTCTCCAAGCCGTAGAGCCAGCATTTTGTCCGAAGACCGTTTCCGTGGTCACGTGGCCAGCGCAACTAGACACAGAACTCTGTGACCTTCCCACTGATGTGGTCCCTATTTATTGACTCGCCTGTTTTCATGCTTTTAAACGGCTAGGTTGGCAGGAGCTGGGACAAGTGACGGGTGCTCACTCTGTCGCGTGGATTCGATCTTACGATGGCGGGTCTTCCGACTTTGCAGCAACAGAGGCTTCTGCGGTTTAACCTGCAGTGCCACCACATCCCTAATAAATTATTTTATACAGATCACTGAAAACAATTACAGTAACTCATTATGCAACAAAGTCTGTTGAACAAGAAGTGTTGGGCCGTTTCTGGCAGTTGAACCCACAGCTCATTTATGTGCCCATACAGACAGACACAAAGGGAGAAAACAGGGCTTTAGATATTTCCCCACTTTGGACAAACCAGGAGAGAACTGATACCTATCCTAATTTCCCCCCACCCAGGTCAGGGTGAAGGTAAAGATACTTCTATACCTGTAGGTTTATTATAACTTGTTTTTAATGTTCTGTCAAGTTGCCTCCAACTTACGGTGACCCTAGGAATGGACGCTCTCCGAAATGTCCTGTCCTCAAGGGTCTCTTGTAGAATCAAGTCTGTCGGGAGACCATCCATCTTGTATTGGGTCTTTCTCTTTTCCTCCTGCCTTCTTCCTTTCTCAGCTTTCTTGTCTTTCCCATAGAATCCTGTCTTCTCAGGATGTGCCTGGAGGAAGACAGCCTCCGTTTCCACATTTTGGCCTCCAGAAAGAGTCCAGACTTGATTCAATTGATGGCCCACCTCCTGGCAGTCCAGGATATTCCTAAAGTGTGCCTCTGGCTACCTAATTTGGATGAATTCATTATTCCCTCCCTCTGTACTCTTCCTGTTGTAGCTCACAAATGACGTTCTCTGGGACGTGTGCCATCTCTTCCAGCTCTCCCCGTGCTTTTCAAGCGTGGTCTCCAGAACAAGGAGGCAGAGGCAGGGAACACGGCCTCCCTGCGCTGCGAGCTGTCCAAAGCCATGGCCCCCGTGGTCTGGAGGAAAGGGCACGTGGTCCTTCAGCCCAGTGACAAGTACGACATCAGGCAAGAGGGGACTTTTGCCGAGCTGCTCGTCTACGATTTGGAGCCTCTGGACGAGGGAGAGTATACCTGTGACTCTGGGGATCAACAGACAACCGCCACGCTGAAGGTGAAAGGTGAGAGAAACTGTTCCGAGTTCAAGATCTGCCAGTGTGCACGGTCCTGGGGATTCGGGAGGTACTGTATGACACGCCCCATATCTATGGGATCGGTACCTGTGGTTTCCCTTACCTGTGGTCTGAAAATATTAAAAAATATTAAAAGAAAAAAAATAGAAATGTCTATTTTCATGATG